AGCATATTGTACCCCAAGTCATACATTATTACAGAGTGCAGGTTTGCAAAACCACTAAATCACTGGCTGTGTTATTCAGGGAAATGCCATTATAGTAGAATAGAAACAAGCCACAAAGTAGAAGATGTTTTACTGAAATTAATCAAATCTAAGTCTGCCTATTGAAAAATGGTTCAGGGTAGGATCAAAATATATCTAAATGAATCTGAAGCCTAATTTGAATTGAGGCTGTGACAGCATGTCCATAGCCCTTGATATGATAGGCAATTTGACTGTTTGCTTATTATAAGCAGTATCAACTAACAATGTCTATCAACTCACTAATGAGATCATACGCTCAACATGAGCAGTTCTAAGCAATGCTCATCCCCAAAGAAAACTACACATTTAGAATCACCTAAACATAAAAAGTACATTCAATGAGACAGTTCAAAATTTCTAGAAATTTTAGAGACCACAAATCATAGAAATCTAGGTCCTCTTAAAACTTTTAAATGTGCTGAAGTAAATAGTAGATAAGCACTGTATTGTTCTATACAAGGCTGGCAGTTCAAATCCACCAGCTGTTTCTCAAAAACCCTGTAAAGTGTTGCTATGAGTTGGAACTAACTCAGTAGCGTTTAACAACAAAAACAACATCACAGTTAAGTGATAAAAATGCAAAATAGAAAAGCAAACTCTAAAAACTTGAGTGATTTAATAAAAAATGTTTAAATGAGTTAGGTTTCTGAAGTCAGGCAAATAGATTGTTATTTTGTTTTCAAATAAATTTAAATTTGGTTTTGAAAAAAAAGTCCCGTATCAAAGAACTATCTTCTTTTCCTCTCTGGGCGTCCCTCTCCACACCCCCACACAGTTGAGTAGTAGTGTTGCCCTGGGTTTTTATCTACTGTGGATCCCTGTAAGATTTTCCAATAGCTGTGGGGAACAACTGAAATTAGCCTTGAATTTCTGTACTCCTAAGCAGCTAGTTGTGGAGTCCTGGTGTGGCACTATGGGTTAATGCGCCAGACTGCAAAGCCGTTTGAACTGCAAGGTCGGCAGTTCAAGCTCACCAGCTGCTCCTTGGAAACCTTATACAGGGTCGCTATGGGTCAGAGTCGACTCGACGGCACTTAACATCAACAACAAGCAGCTAGTTAGAATATTGCTATTTTGCCTATATTAAAATGCAAAAAAATAATAATAAAATTCCACACACACACCCACACTATCTACCTACCTGTCTATCTACATACACTATTAGTTTTATTTTAAGAAGTAATTGGGTATAAAGATATGCAGAATTAGAAAAAGTAGTGCTTCAGGAAGACAAAAGATTGGCATGCATTCTTTCCCAATATACTCATATAGTAAAAAATGATTGTTGGGCTAGCTCTCACTAAAGCACTATTGTCTTCCTTTCCTCTTTGCCAACAACATAGTTGAAACGATTACAATGATATCCTCATAAGGCTCTGAGGCCAAGGTGTGGACTTGCCGGTGCTAAGTTCTGTGCTATATAAGCACATCTTAGAATGCTGCATGAATGGCAAAAAATGAAGAAGAAGAATAAGAAAACTTTAGCATTCTAGTTTAAGAATTTTAACTCTTGTCTGTTTCACATAGGTGCGTGCTAGTGCAATTGCCCAAGATGCTGATCAGAATTACGACTATGCCAGTAACAGTGTGGTTCTTCATTTGGAGCCAGGAGATGAAGTCTATATCAAATTAGATGGCGGGAAAGCCCATGGAGGAAACAACAACAAATACAGCACATTTTCTGGATTTATTATTTATGCTGACTGATAATTCGGAAACAAAGCTGATTATTCCCAACTTGAACACTGGATTCGTATGGCTAACGTCAGTGAATCAAGGATCCCAGGGGATGCCTATCACAGGGCACCTCAGTTGTGTATATGTGGGGAAATCAAATGCTACCTGACTCACATCTGTATCACTCAGAAAAACATTATGTAAAAAGAAAAAAAAATAATAAATAAAACCAAGATAAGCAGATGTGTGATCCACTACCGCCAAAGCAAATACTCCTTATTGTTAGTGTCCATGTGAATGAAGTCCTATATAGATCACAAATTTTTATAGAAAAATCTAAGACACTGAATTATTTCTTCAATATATATGATACTTTGTGTACTGTGATCTTGCTGCTTTTATCCATGTGTCAGCTTTGGTTCTTGTGAGTTTACCTGCTTATTATGCTACTTGGAGTCCATTCATTGTATGGGGAAGACTGATTTTACCCTGCAGGAGGAGGTCTAAGGGAAACAATGCTGCTTGTCCCCAAAGAAATCGTTTGCCTTGTACTTTTGTTAACTTTAGAGCTTGACCTGGAAATGATTCAACTTCAAGCCTTAACCTGGAATTTTCTGGATTTGAGGGAATTCCCAAGCCTATGATCATTTTCACATTTTCTTTTTCTTATGAATTTTCATTTCTCTTTTCTGGTGATAGTCTTTAAAAAAATAGAGATTGAGATTTATATTGTATCTTAGGACTACCCTCTAAGTGTGAAAATGTGTAATTATGTATGGTATTTTAAAAATCCCCTATGTCTCCATTTTGTCAATAGAATACATTTAGATTTACTTGGCAAGTCAGAAAAAAAATGTATTCTTTGGTATTAAATCAGACTGAGTCATTTGCCTTCTTTAGAAGAAAAGAGTATTCATAACCCAATGCACAAAGGTTTAATTTGAGCTACTGCATGCATTACCAAGGGGACACTAAGTAAGGCCTTCAAATAGTTACTACAAGTCTGGGGCCTGAGGTTATTTCAAAATTAACAGTTTCACATATAACTAATATGACAACAAAGTGTATATATTTTATATAAATATATGCTATATATATATATATTAGATGAAATATAATATATATATATGGCTCTAGTCCATAAGGCACAGTGGCTGTAAAGTTGCAAAATTTATTTTAAAGATAAATACACACACACACACACACATATATATATATATATATATTCATAATTTGACTTATTTTGAGTGGCAAAAAATATATAGAGTAGCAAAGTAATTTACATGAGTTTTCTTTAGTTATCCAGAAAAGTAAAAATTCTTTTTAGATTAAAATGCCCTATATGTCATATTTATGTCTATTAAGTCTGTGGTTTCTCTATTATTAGATGCCAACCAATATTGTAAGTGCAGTCTGAGCAGACAGTTAACATTAGGACTGCAGAAACATGGTGGCATTCCTTGGCAGTGTTTATGAATTATGTGCATTTGAATGATCATTATTTTTTTTTCCTGAGGTGAATTAAATCTGACAGTAAAGTAGACTTTGAGAGTAGTACAAATCCCTTCTCTCTGCCAAAAACCATCTGTTTAATCTAACGAAAAGATCAAAAATGCATGTTGATATATATCCTATCAGACAACTTTCATGATTACAATGAAAAAAAATCTGTTCCTTTTTCGGCTGCCTTTGAAGACTCTTGACAAGTAGATATCAAAAACAAAAAACAAAAATTCAAAAATCTGTTTGTTTTACTGGTGAAGGCCATTTGCATTTTTTCATTTAAAGGAATTAGTTTGTCCTCCTGGCTTGTTCCTCTATGGTACTTTCTGTTCTAATCCATGGAAAGCTTGATCATTTTTGATCAACAGAAATATCTTTTATTTAGCAAAACTCAACTTTCCAAAAAAGTTATGCATGGTGTTCCCATCTGAAGGTGCTGTTTGCTTTGCTTAAATGCCTTGGACTGAGTAATTGTCATGATTTATATGACTAAAAACACTTGGCTGGTTAATCAAGAATAATGACAAATGTGTTTTGGCCTCTAATATATAAGATAACTCAAATGAATTAAAGTGGATTTTATTTTCATTTAACCATATGCATTTATGAAAAAAAATTCACAGTAAGGTTTAAGAGAATTTTTTTAGGTATCTAATGCATAGTGAGGATTTGAGCAAAAGATTAATTTATGAGTAGCCATGCATATCCACTAAGAGTTTTTAAAGTAAGCATTAAAAAAAAAATTACACAAAAACATCAAGGCTGAGTACATCTTAAAGAGCAGGCTGTAGAATCAGACTGTCACTTCTAATAGATATGACCTTTTCTTCAGATAAATAAGCATTATTTTCTCTGTTTAGGCTCAAGGAAAAACAAAAGGTGAAGGAAATAAAGGGACTCTATGTAAGGCAAACATTTCTTATTTGCATTATATCTTATCAATTAAATTGTGGCCTTTGTTATTATAAATGTAACGATTCATTAAATTATATTATGTAATATATTTTGACTTTATGATTCAATGTTTATAATTCAGTACTTGTGTGTTCATGCCCTCTTACACAAATTTTGCAAAATATAACCAAAATCACCACAAAATGGATGCCAGAAAGCCAAAGGCATAAAAAATGATTAATTAAAATATATAGATAGCCGGACAGCGTATAATCAACCCTCTAAAATATTTTTATCATTGTAAATCAATCACTGTATTTTCGTATCCTTTGGGGGGAAAAACAGTCTCAAAGTTTAACTTCCCTTGCTGCTAAAGCTATTTTAAAGTGCCATATTATTCATTAAGCATTAATTAAAGAACAGCAGGATAATTAGTAGGATCATCAATATTGCAAGAAACATTAGATTGCTCCAGAAGGGAGTAATTTAACTAGAAACACTTAAAATTTTTTCTAGTAGTGTTGCTGACAGATTACCTAGAAAAGAAGAAGGAAAAAAAAAAAAATTCCACTTAAGGATTATAAACTTTAAATCATTGTTTAGAAATAGATAGTTCTTTATTTATTTTAAAAAGGCACACTAGAGCTCGATTAAACTCAGCAACTCTTTAGAGGTGTGAGTGTAAGAGTTTTGGAGAAGGTAAAACTTTTCTAATTCTCATAAAAAGAAAATGATCAGTCATTAGTCCTATGTAGCTCTGATTAATATCTCACAGCTGGTTTGAAATCCATCTGAATGTTCTCTGTAAGTTTTATACTCAAGGTGCAAATACATCAACAGTCACTCTATTTGAACGTTAGCCATTGCTTGGGATTCTCTATTAGTATTTTATCAAGTGCAGTCTCAGTGATACCTCTAAGTAACATTTTCGGAACAATGTTGGTGAGTATATGAGAATAGCCATGACCTCCATATTTCATCAGCCGATGCTTCGTATGAATATCATGCGCCATCAGAATTCGATCTCCGTAACCCTCATCCACCAGGAACCGCACCCTGTGAAAAATGTTAACTCATTATTTGGCATTTGTCTCACGTTTAAATATTTCAGGGTGCTTTAAACTTTTTACCATTTGTGCTTATTGTAAAGATACTGCCTTTTATTGTGGCATGTGTACTGGGAGGCCCTTAATAAATATTCTGTGTTGCTGATAAACATATGACTGAATCTTAGAAGGAACACCATCCTTATTCTATGCACACAGAAATTTCTAGCCTGTGATATTCATGACGTTGCCCGGCAATTCTGAACTAAAGAAAGCTAATAGGATATGCCAGTTTGAATGAATGACCACTTTAGCATTTCACTAAATAACATTGTTCTGAATTTATATTCTGATCTCCTCTCTAAAATGCCTTTTTTTAGTGGGCCCATTTTTCAGATCTCATTCTCTCTCTCTCCTTGTATCTAGCAAATAAAATCAATGGCTACTTGGGATTAAAATAGATGAGAGGAATTTTTGTCCAAGTAAAGCATTCTGAAGGAAAAATCAGTAGGTTTGAAAGTGAACAGTATGTGTTAAGCTATACAATCATTTTGAACAGATAGGCAAAGGCAACTCTGTATTTTGAGCAATTTGTCTGTTTGAAGTTTAGGGGAATTCTGCCTTGGTGTTAGTTTTCAAGCAGTTCATTAAATTGACCAATAAAAATGTATGTTCCCTTTCTTCCATTTCAAGGGTTGTTAAAATAATGAGTTGTTTTACATTTACAGTCAGCTGACCAAAAGACCAGCATCCCAACCATTGTCTAAAAATGTAATCCTCTTTGCTTTGTTAACTGCTGTGACCTTTAGAGTGAGTCACCTCCTGGCAGTCACATCTGTATATGTATGGACACTGGACAGTGTTTATCTTGACTTCTATGGGTTTCTGACTTTAGGAGATGCAACTCAGAGGCAGAGACCCTTGGATGGGATTTTATCTGTATAGTCCTGTCAATCACTAAATTCCGACCATGAAAAATGAAGATAGCAACTCCCTCCAGGAGGCTATTTGAAAGGTATCCTTTTTGTTTCCATCACATTTCTGAACATTCTAGCCTATGAGTAATATTTAGTAACTGCTATCCTAAGAGGCCCTGGGAGTGCTGTGGCATAAGCATTGGGCTGCTAACCACAACAAGGCAGAAGGTAGAAACTCACCAACTGCTCTGCAGGAGAAAGATGAGGCTGTCTGCTCTCAGAAGATTTTACACTCAAGGTGCAAATACACCTTGAAACGCTACATAGGGTTGCTGAGAGTCAGAATCTACTTGATGGGCATTGGGTTTGGTTTGGGGGTATGGTAAGCAAAAGATAATGGTGTAGTTAATGTGTTTTCTGCTAACCAAGACATTGGTGGCAAGTGACCATCCAGAGGTGCCCCAGAAAAAAGACCTAGGTATCTACTTCCAAAAAATCAGTCATTAAAAAACCCTATGGAGCAGTTTGGTGAGTCTGAATCAACTGAATAGACATTTTATTTTCAGGTTGGAGGGATGCAAGTGCTCAAGAAAACCCAACCTGGTGCTTTGTCCTGAACTCTGCATTCATATCATGTGCACCCTATAAGTGTCACGTAAACGCCATTTGTGCCATCGGGGGTATCCACCTCATTGAAATTTATGTAATATTTTAAAAGTTCTGATTTTTATTTACTTTTGGAACAAACTGTATATAAGTGAAGTATCTAAGAGAGTTACATGATTATGAGGTGGGGAGGGTGGTGGTGCAGTGAAAGACTTGGCAGAACATATCCACAATGTTAAAACTTAGTGTAACACATCTCAACCCACAACTGAAAAGAAATATCACAGAAGTTTTTAGGGTACACTTTCCCCACTATATTTGGAGCATTTCCTAAGGTTTTTGTTTCTTTTCCTTGTCTGAGAAAAAAATGATATTACTACAAAGGTGTATTATATGGATAAACAAATAATTATTATAGGATGTCATGGATGACACCTTGAAACACAAAAGTATTCAATTGTGAAGTAGTAAGAAAAGAATATAATGGGTAAGACACTGTTATTTGAAAATGGGAACCATTAGAACTAATTAAGTCAAGGACCTGGAGACTAGTTCTCTTGAGAAAGAAAGATAATGTTGTGGCCGTAGAAACATAATCATCTCCTGACTACCAAGAACTAGCCTGCTCACTCCTGAATATGCGCTCCCCGTCATGCTGTGTGATTGTGTGCAAGAACAGTAGTTACAGAGATACTGCCAGAAGGGAGGAACCACTACAGATGAGAAGACAAAAAATTACAGTAATTATAGAAATACAAATGAGTTACTGTTTTGCAAACAAATATTAGAGAGAGACTACAAAGTGTGAAAAAGGCAGAGATATAATAAGATTTGAGAAATGGAGCATAAGATTGAAAACAGGTGTTAGACACAGAATTTCTGGTGTTAAAAAACCAGAGGTAGGCAGAAGCTTGCTTCTGTGTCCTTGCACTTCAGAGCTAGATTAGTATGGATCATAAAAGGATTGCAAATGAATGATCAACTGCCTGAAACATGGAGGGTAATGGGGTGCTGGAACAATACATCTAGAAGGTCATTCTGTAAGCAACAGGAGCTACAACTGGGTGAGAGAGCAGCAGTGGTTCAGTGTTAGGATTCTCCCCTTTCAATGGGAGATCTGCCTTTGATTCCTGGCCATTGTATCTCATGTACAGGCATCACTCATCTATCAATGGAAGCAAAAATTAGCCAATGAAAACCCTATAGATCACACTGGTCTGATCCCCAACCTATCATGTAGGTGGTGCAGAACTGGGCAGCATTTCATTTCATTGTGAATGGGGTACCTAAAAGTTGGTGGCTGATTCCACAGCACTTAACAACAGCAACAACACATTTGAGTCAAGAAACAGCACTAGAGAAGAAGAAAAAGCACATGCTGTTGTTGTACATACACACGTTGCTGTTCAGTGCTTTCACCTTACTTCTGACCCATAACGACCCTGTATGGGGTTTCCAAAGAGCTTGAACTGCCAACCTTGTAATTCTAACTGAGTTTGCAGTACAGCACATTTTAACCCACAGCACCACACCCGGATTCCCTATATACACAGATATGCACAAACATATATGCATATATAATTTTTTGTTGTGTTTCCATATTTTCAGGATGTTTACATTTGGCATTATAAAAGATAACTGAAATTAAGTTATTGAACTAATAGCGAAATGGAGTTAAGAAGGAATGCTGAGGAAGCCATGAATCATCTTCCCCTTCCTCTGCTTCATGGATTCCCCTCTAAGGATCCCCTATCTTCTGTTCCACAAGGTCTGGGACCCTCATAGAAGGTCCCTCTCAGCCACAAAGGCGCTTAGGAAAAGGAAGTAGGTTCTGGATGCGAAGAATAAGATGAATTGGAAAACATATCTTGAGTACGTCCATTAGGAAATTACATTTTTGAGACTATGAAAGATGAGAAAGACCTACCACATCACTCTGCTTTAAATTACATATGCCTGTGAGTTGGAACCAACAATGGTATTTAACAACAACATATAGGATAAGGAGTCCTGGTGTGGCACTATAGGATAGTGCACTGGACCACAAGGTTGGTTTAAACCATAAGATTGATGGTTCAAACCCATCTGTCGCTCCCCAGAAAACCTATGCAAGGCCACTATGAGTCGAATCAACTCAGTGGAACTTAACAACAATATAGGATAAGCACTGGACTGCTAACCACAAGGCTGGTGGTTCAAACCCACCATCTGCTCCTCAGGAAAACGATGAGACTTTCTGCTCCCACAAAGATTTAAAGCCTCAGAAATCTTCTAATTTCACTATGCAGCAGAATCGACTCAATGGCACTTAACAACTTAACATAGTCAAGCCTCCTGTTGTTGAGTCAATTCTGACTTGCAGCTACCACATAGGACAGAATAGAACTGCTCCACCATTTCTGAGACTGTAAATCTTTGTGGGGCAGACAGATTCATCTTTTTCTAACAGAGGAGCTGGTAGGTGTGAAACGCCAGCCTTGTAGTTAGCAGCCTGATGCTTAACTCACTGTGCCACCAGGACTCCTTTTTGTTAACTGTTAAACCAAATACCAAACACCAAACCCACTGCCACTGAGTCAATTCAAGTTCATAGCAAGTAACCCTATATTAGGGTTTCTGAGACTAAATTTTTTTTTTTTTAATGAGACTAAATTTTTTCAGGAGCAGATCACTGTTGTTGCTAAGTGTCATCCAGTTGGTTCCTCATTGTTGTTGTTAGGTGCCACTGAGATGTTTCTGACTCATAGCAACCCTGTACAGGATTTCCAAGGAGGGACTGATGAGTCTGAACTCTCGACCTTGTGGTTCAAACCATCTTGAGGTCGAGTGCTTACCCCACAGCACCACAGACTGGTTCGCCAAAGAAAGAAAAAAAGTGTCAACACACAGACATCGGGAGGAAAACAGATGTAAAGCTCTATTGCCCAGGAAAGGACCCAAGATGGTTAAGATCTTCCCTTACCTCTAGTATGCATATATTCAGCCATCAATATGTGAACCTCACAGTTTCTTGACTTCAATTAGCAGCTCCAGTTTTATTTACTCCCATTCCAACCAGTTTCCTGCACTGTTGTTAAGTGCTGTCGAGTGGGTTCTGACCCATAGTGACCTGTATAGGGTTCCTGAGGAGAAGCTGGTGAGCTTGGACTGCCAACCTTTGCAGTCTAGTGCATTAACCCACAGTGCCACACCAGGACTTCTATACTCATAACCAATTTCTGTTTCTACTTCCTCTCTGAGATCCTAAACTTCAAGTCCCTAAAATGACAATAGGTCATTTCAACTTTTCACATTCTTTTCCTCTATCATATATATTCACCCGCTTCATTAAAGCCTCTAATTATTTTACCCTGCCCTTGATTCCTATTTACCTGCCTATTCCTTCTACACTTTCTTCCCTGTCCAATTTGATTCTCTAACTCTCATCTCAACTACTTCCTTGCTCCACTGGCTATCAACTGCATCTTTCAGATAGAACTCTAACCCTGGTTCTCTCTGTTCATATTTTCTTCTTCTACTCACAATCTTCTCTGGCCCTACTACCAAAACACAAAATATTTTGGGGTAGGGGAAAAATCACCAAATAATGTACATAGGTGCCAATATAAAGTCATGACCTCCAGCCTCAATTGGGCCTCACACATAACATGTCTCTGGTCAATATTTCTTCCATTAAACCTCCCAATCTTCATTCTCTTCTACAAGGTTCTGCTCTGACTCCCACCTTTCTCAGAATACTACCGTGGCTACTTCATGGGCACAGTAGAGAACACATAGTTCTCTTGCTAGACATTTGTTTGCATTCACATCATAACTCCTCTCCTCTCCTCTCATTTCAATAGAGGAAACATAGCTCCTTTTATCCAACGTTTTATTTGCTTCTCAGATTCTATCTATTTTTCTCCTTAGGAGCCTTACCATATATTTATTATTCTCTCAGATTTTTATTAGATTACTACCATATTTTACACCACATCATCTGCTAAAAGCTATGCATACTTTCAAAAAGTTCATGGAAAATGGGCATTTAGATATTGGCTACCTAAAATGAGGGGGCGATAAAGGTATGAAGTGACTGGCTTACAAGCTTTCAAGAGGGAGTTTAGTTTAAGAGTGTGTGGGGGAAGAAAGAGTCCCCACTGAATAGTTTTCATCTTGTCTAGATGGGTCTGGTAAAAAGAGATGGGGATAAGATTCTTATGACTCAATAGTAATAGTTATCATGACTAATTGCAACTGTCACAATTGTAAAGGTAGAAATTCTGTAACAAAAACGGGTGAGTAGTCAATCTTACAGTCCAGAAACAGAGGACCCTAGGACCATCAAGGGAGAAGAGCACAAGCAGAATGTGGGACCTTATCCAGAAAAATAGTGACACTAGAGATGGAGGCAGAGATGGGGACAGGGAGAGAGGGAGCAGCTGAGGACTCTAGATTCATGGGAAGAGAGGGACTAAGAGCTGGCTACCAGGAGGCTAACTTATAGAGTGTGCCCTTTGGTGGTGTAAATTATTATATATGCCTGAGGGTTTTTTTCTTTCTTTTTTTTTTTTTAAAGAGCTAAAGTAAATAGAAATACTGTTAACTGATGGTACATGGAGGGGATTATAATCACTGTAATGAAACAAGATGTATGATTTATTGAATGTAAAACTGATGATCTGCCCTGTAAACTTTCACGCAATTTACAAAAAAAAAAAAAAGAAGTACATGGAAAATGGAATTTATAATTCAAATAAATCAGTTGTAGTCATGGTGTAGCACTGTAGGAAAAGCACTGGACTGACAACTGCAAGGTCCATGTTTCAAACCCACCAGAAACCCTGCTCCTCAGAAACCCTATACAGGGTTGCTATGAGTTGCAATCAATTTGATGGTACTTATAAACAACAACAATAATAAATCATTTAATAACCCTATAGAATAGGTAGTACTTTGTTGTTGTTAGATGCCATTGAGTCAGTATTGACTCATGCGACCTTATGCACAGCAGAATGAAATACTGCCCGATCCTGGGCCAACCTTACTACTGTTGCTATGTTTGAGTCCATCGATGCTGCTACTTGGCCAACCCATCTCGTTGGGAGTCTTCCTCTTTTTCTCTGACCCTCCACCTTACCATGGAAGTATTCATATATTAATTCTCTCTCTTTGTTCTTGATCTCAGCCAGACAAATGTTGCTCAAATCTCAACAAAATCTTCCTGTGCAATCTTTTTTCCTCAGCAATATGTCCCTACTTCCCATTACTACCAAGCATCTTCACATTCTCTCCTTTTTTTCACCTCCTACCCACTCCTCACTTCTTTTCTACCGACTGTGGAATGAATGAAAGCCTCTTGCTTGTACAATCCATAGGTATTCAAGCCCTTCTGCTTTAAGCCCTTCCAGAATAATGCATTTCCCTGAGAGTCCTATCACTTTGAAAACTCCTTGACTTATTCTTGAGTTACTCTTCCTGAGCTCAACCTTTAATTGTCAGTGTTTTCCAGGGCTTTGTCCTTATCCTCTTTGCTGAGACATCACATTCATTCCCATAGTTCTAACGAGCACATATAAAACAAAGATGAATACATCTATGCTTCAGTTCAAGTTTCTACCCTGAGCTTCATATCCTTATCTCAGGGTCCCACTGGAGAACACCATCTATTGTTGTTAAGTGCCATTGACTGAGTCAGTTACAAGTCATAGAGACCCTGTATAGGGTTTCTGAGAAGGGGCTGGTGAGTTTGAACCACTGACCTTGCAGTCGAGTGCTTATCCTATGGTGCCACACCAGGACTCCAACTAAACTCATCTTTGTCCATCCCATATCTACTTTTCCTCTCAGATTCCCTAAATTGGAGTACTTTATCTTCATGTGACCATGTAGACCAAGATCCATGCTGGTAACCTCCTGAAGTTCCCCCTTTGGTTGTAAAGAAGAACTTCTATAATTATTCATTTTCACCTTATATTTGACCGTTCTGAAAAGTGGAGCTTTACTTGATGTTTGGTCTTTAGATAGTCTACATTTTAGCATTGAAGTTGCAATTACTACTTCAGTGAATATTTTCAATAAATATTTCAAATATTCATTGTAGGTGATGACTTTAATATAGCCAATGTGCAAAAGAAGTAGTTTATTTAATTTTTAATTTTCAACAGGTAAAGAGAGGAAAATGTATTTTGTTTTCTTATTGTATGGTAGGGGTTGAGTTTTATCTGTGTTTCCTGTCAGTGCCCCTGGCTCTGCTACACCTTTGACCACTTAGGATGATTCACTTCCTCCTAGAAATACTATAGACTTTCTCCTTGACACAGAAAATAATTATTTTTCTATGCAAGTCTCTGATTCAGCTTGTTTACTGTTTTCAGAATCTTTGCTAATATTCACCCAGATGTGATGATCAGAACAGCTAGTAAAAGGGGATACTATGAGAGATTTCATCATATTTACCTTCTAATTCTTTTATTATCATCAGGCATGTCAGTATCTGGGTTAAATTGATAATGAAGAAGTTCAGTACCAAAGAGATCATATTCCAAATAACAGCCAAGTTGAGCAAACTCCAGTAGTTCCTTTTTATCAAGTATAGTCCTAGAGACAATAAAACAGACATATTGATATGATTCAGAGCATATTTTCCACATTTACAGATTAGAAGTTTTAAGCATGAGCTATATGAGAACATAGTTTAAGTCAAGCAACAGAACTTTTGAGCTGGCTTTCACGATGCTACAATAAAATATTATTGCTGTTAAGTGTGCTTGAGTTGGTTCCAATTCATAGTGGCCCTGTATAGTGTTTTTGAGTCTATAAATCTTTGCAGGAGCAGAAAGTCTCATCTTTCTCTTATGGAGCATCTAGTGGGTTTGAACAGCTGACCTTGTGGTTTGAAGCCCAGTGTTTGTTGGATGGCGCTACCATGCAACCGACAATAAAACAGTAAGTTAAAGTTGTTACCAGACATAAAAGAATTTATCCATCCAAAAGCAAATTTCCCCTTCTAAAGTACTTTCCATAGGGAACTATTATACACTTCATTTAATTATACAATCATTACTCAAAAACAATTTTGTAATTCTCCTTCAAAATTATCTTCAGGATATCTATCATCATCTTTGAAAGTCCTTAGTAGGGTAAACTTTCATCCTCTGAGGACTCCTGTGAACTTTGGAAACTATCAAAGAATATTCATCATTAGGCCTGATAAATTAGGTGAATAATACTAATCAGAGTTTTTTTTAAAAAAAAGAGATTTCAGTGCAAGATAATAAAGTTGATTTTCTTGAAAATTTCATAAAGTGATTCTAATATTAATTTCAAAGGCTATGTGAATATTATTCTAAGACTTCAAGGGACAATTTCATACAGATATTTATGTTAAGGTATCCTGGCTTGTTTGTTTTTATAATGAAATGAAACATTTTATAGAAATTTTTATGGATATCTTTTAATTTCAATATATTTTTATAATATTACTATTTTAGAATACAAGGCTATACAAATAAATAGGAAAGGGAAAAGTATAGGGTAAGTTACAGGAGACAGACAGAGGAGTATTCTTGCCTAGAGCAAGAATAATTGATCTCAAGAAATTTAGATTATAACTAGTAATTGATTAAGGTATTGATTAGGCATTGATTAAGCTGCAGGGGTTGTTGTTGTTATGTGCTGTTGAGTTGATTTTGAACCATAGAGAATCTGTACAGGGTTTCCAAGGAGTAGCTGGTGGGCTTGAACCACCGACCTTGTAGCTGAATCGGCTTTGCAGTCGGACGCATTAGCCCACAGCACCACACCAGGACTCCAAGCTGCAGGGGTAGGAAACCTTTTTTTCTGCCAAGGGCCATTTGCATATCTATAACATTATTCACAGCAGTACAAAATTATCAACTTAAAAATTAGCCTACTATATTTGGCCAAGCATTTAATTAGCTCACCCATAATGTGCACGGCCTTTGGTATGGATTACATCTCAGTGTAAAGAAAACAAAAATCCTCACCACTGGACCAATAAACAACATTCTTATCAGCGGAGAAAAGACTGAGGTTGTCAAGGACTACATTCTTCTTGGATCAACTATCAACACTCATGGAAGCAGCAGTCAAGAGATCAAACGACATATTGCATTAGGCAAATCTGCTGCACAAGACCTTTTTAAAGTGTTGAAGAGCAAAGATGTCAGCTTGAGGACTAAGGTGCGCCTGACCCAAGCCATGGTATTTTCAATAACCTCATATGCATGCGAAAGCTGGACAGTGAATAAGGAAGACATAGAAGAATTGATACCTTTGAGTTATGGTGTTGGAGGAGAATACTGAAAGTGCCATGGGCTGCCAAAAGAACCAATAGTTCCATTTTGGAAGAAGTGCAGCCAGAGTGCTTCTTTCTTAGAGGCCAGGATGGCCAAACTTTGTCATTCATACTTCGGCCATATTATCAGGAGGGACCAGTCACTGGAGAAGGATATCACGTTTGGTAAGGTGGAGGGTCAGAGAAAAAGAGGAAGACCCCAACAAAATGGATTGGCCAAATGGCAGCATCGATGGACTCAACCATGGCAACAGTACTGAGGTTGGCCCAAGACCGGGCAGTTTCGTTCTGCTGTGAATAAAGTCGCTATGGGTCGGTACCAACTCGATGGTACCTAACAACAACAACAACAACAACAATAATAATGTGGTCACCAGCTGCTCCTTGGAAACCCTATCCAGGGTTGCTATGGGTCGGAATTGATTGGACAGCACTTAGCAACAATAACAACAATGTGATGGACCAAAATAACACAACTGTTGGAATGATCTTCAGACTCACACCCATTTTCATTTGTATCTTATTGATAACCAGTTAGGAGGCTTCTGCAATAGATCAGGCCAACTAGGATTTCTCAGTAAAAATGGTGAGAAAAGGCCAATGAGGACCCAAGGAGAATAACAAGAACCTACAGAAAGAGAGGCGTCCTGGTGTGGGGCTGTGGGTTAATGTGCTGGACTACAAGGTTGGTTTGAGCCATAAGGTCAGCGGTTCAAGCTTACCAGCTGCTCCTTGGAAACTCTATACAGGGTAATTATGGGTCTGAACCGACTTGACAGTACTTAATGTGATGGCTGAAAATTCAGTTGCATTGGCAGAGCTACACCAATTGACTTCATGGGCCAGATGTTCCCCACCCTTAGATTAAGGTAATCCCCAAAATTCCATCGTGAAGATTTAAATTCTATCAGAAAATAATACGTAAAAAACATGAAGGAAAAATATATTCACTGGACATTGTGTAAAGGGAGTTGAAGACCTAGAGGAAGTCGTTTGGAGACTCAAAATTGTCCTTGAGAAAAGATGAGAATTATCAGTCAACTATCGTAGCTGTGGGTCGGAATCGACTTGATGGCACTTAACAACAACAACAATCATCTATGAGTCAGAATGTACTCAATGTCAGTGCTTTGTTCTTTTTTTTGGGCGGGGGGAGGTAGGGGAGGAGTTAATGCAGTGTACTGCAAAGTCAGTTTGAACCTCAAGGTTGGCGGTTCAAACTCCCAGCTGCTCCTCAGAAACTCTTTACAGGGTCATTATGAGTCAGAATCGACTGATAGCATGTGACAACAGCAGGGCAGATGTGGTATTAATTATCTTATTGGAGTCCTGATATAGTGCTGTAGGATAAGCACTGGACTGCTAACCATAAGGTGGCAGTTCAAGCCCACCAATCTCTCCTTGGACCCTATACAGGGTCTCTTTGAATCAGAATCTACGTGATGGTACTTCACAACAACAGCATTATCTTATTAGGTTTTTACAGCTCTGATGTTCTGTACTTTGGCAACTCTGAGATGCAAGGATTAAAGCACTAACTACCACCACATATGTCTGTACATCTAAGAGGTTAGAAATATCTTCAAAGTTTTTTTTGAAAGCCATTGTTGTTGTTGTTGTTAGGTGCCATCGAGTCAGTACCGACCCATAGCAACCTTATGCACACCAAAATGAAACACTGCTTGACCCAGGACCAACCTCACTGCTATTGCCATGCTTGAGTCCATAGATGCTGCCACTTGGCCAATCCATCTCGTTGGGGGTCTTCCTCTTTTTCTCTGATCCTCCACCTTACCAAACATGATATCCTTCTCCAG